GCCCACATGCATGCAAAGCCTCCCACACACCATTCTGAGTCAGTGTGGTGTTTCTCGGCGAGTAAACATTACCCTGCGAGGTCATACGAAACATTTCATAAAACAGTGGTACCTCGAGTTATGAACTTAATTCATTCCAGAAGGCTATTCGAGTGCCGATACTGAACGAATTTGTTCCCGTAAGGAATAATGTAAATTAGATTAGTCCGTTTCAGACCCCCAAAAATACACTTACAAAAATACACTTGCATAATTGTTAGAGATGGGAGTTGTTTGAAACTTGAGGTACCACTGTAATCCGTTGTTTTTTGCACTTGTTTATTGTGTGACTGCTAAATAAGCCACCATGGGCTAAAAGAAAACTCCTAGTGCTAGCCCTATGGCAAAGAAGGTGAGAAACATGATAAAATTCAAGAAAGAATTCATAGCAAGGTACCAAAGTGGGAGAGGAAGAGAGAGGGGAGAATGTGCCTTCTTCAGTGATTCTATAATATGTACGATACTGAAGCAGCAGGATAAAGTGTAGCAACTAAGTTAAGCAATTAAGCGATAGAAAAAGTACGACACAAAACTAACTCCAATGTTGACAAGATACACCCCCCTGCGTATCTTCCACTACCCTAAACCAATGTCAGCATCTCCTCCAAGGTAAGTGTAAATATTTCTTATTTATAAATTATGTACATTGTTTCAGAGTGAATAGTGGTGGTGGCCTCTGGTGCCGCTGCCACCACCACTATATGTATGGCTTATGCTGTCAGTGGCCCTGATAAGCCCCCCCAACACCACTCCTCACATACGTAATGACATATTTTATTCATTCTAGAGTATATATCTGTTATTAATATTGTTTATTATGTTATATTAGATGAATTGTGATAGATAAGCCGTAAAGTTGATATTAGCATCGTATTTAAGCATTTTGCCCTGTCTCCAAACACACACTTCCTTCCAAAAGCCAACAAGACTCTTCAACAAAGGTAAAAGTGATTTAAATGTTCATTTATCCATTCCATTAGTGCTTTATATTTATTTCTCATTGTTTTCTGTATGTAAAACTATAGGTATTCTCTATAAAATGTATTTATTGTTAATACTTTTGGATGTCTTTTTATTTTTTTTTTTTAAAATATCACTGCTGCATTTACCACCCAAGCTTCACATCCATATAAGAGTGTTGGTACTACTATACTTTCATACCTTCATTGCCTCCATAGATAACGTTTTTTGACTCCACATATACCTCAATGCACCACTCACCTTTTTTCCCTCATCAATTCTATGATTAACCTCATCCTTCATAAATCCATCCGCCGACACGTCAACTCCCAAGTACGTATCTGAAAACATTCACTTCTTCCATACTCCTCCTCCCCAATTTGATATCCAATTTTTCTTTATCTAAATCATTAGATACCCTCATCACCTTACTCTTTTCTATGTTCACTTTCAACTTTCTACCTTTACACACATTCCCAAACTCATCCACTAACCTTTGCAGTTTTTCTTTAGAATCTCCCATAAGCACAGTATCATCAGCAAAAAGTAACTGTGTCAATTCCCATTTTGAATTTGATTCCCCATAATTTAATCCCACCCCTCTCCCGAATGCCCTACCATTTACTTCTTTTACAACCCCATCTATAAATATATTAAACAACCATGGTGACATTACACATCCCTGTCTAAGACCTACTTTTACCGGGAAGTATTCTCCCCTCTCTTCTACATACCCTAACCTGAGCCTCACTATCCTCATAAAAGCTCTTTACAGCATTTAGTAACTTACCACCTATTCCATATACTTGCAACATCTGCCACATTGCTCCTCTATCCTCTCTATCATATGCCTTTTCTAAATCCATAAATGCAATAAAAACTTCCCTACCTTTATCTAAATACTGTTCACATATATGCTTCAATGTAAACACTTGATCTACACATCCCCTACCCACTCTGAAACCTCCTTGCTCATCTGCAATCCTACATTCTGTCTTACCTCTAATTCTTTCAATTATAACCTTACTGTACACTTTTCCTGGTATACTCAGTAAACTTATTCCTCTATAATTTTTACAGTCTCTCTTGTCCCCTTTCCCTTTATATAAAGGGACTATACATGCTCTCCGCCAATCCCTAGGTACCTTCCCCTCTTTCATACATTTATTAAACAAAAGTACCAACCACTCCAACACTATATCCCCCCTGCTTTTAACATTTCTGTCATGATCCCATCAGTTCCAGCTGCTTTACCCCCTTTCATTCTACGTAATGCCTCACGTACCTCCACCGCACTTACATTCTGCTCTTCTTCACTCCTAAAAGATGGTATACCTCCCTGGCCAGTGCATGAAATTACTGCCTCCCTTTCTTCCTCAACATTTAAAAGTTCCTCAAAATATTCTCGCCATCTACCTAATACCTCCCTCTCCCCATCTACTAACTCCCCTACTCTGTTTTTAACTGACAAATCCATACTTTCCCTAGGCTTTCTTAACTTGTTTAACTCACTCCAAAATTTTTTCTTATTTTCATTAAAATTTCTTGACAGTGCCTCTCCCACTCTTTCATCTGCTCTCCTTTTGCACTCTCTCACCACTCTCTTCACCTTTCTTTTACTCTCCATATACTCTGCTCTTCTTATAACACTTCTGCTTTGTAAAAACCTCTCGTAAGCTACCTTTTTCTCTTTTATCACACCCTTTACTTCATCATTCCACCAATCACTCCTCTTTCCTCCTGCCCCCACCCTCCTATAACCACAAACTTCTGCCCCACATTCTAATACTGCATTTTTAAAACTATTCCAACCCTCTCAACCCCCCCACTACTCATCTTTGCACTAGCCCACCTTTCTGCCAATAGTCGCTTATATCTCGCCCGAACTTCCTCCTCCCTTAGTTTATACACTTTCACCTCCCTCTTACTTGTTGTTGCCACCTTCCTCTTTTCCCATCTACCTCTTACTCTAACTGTAGCTACAACTAAATAATGATCCGATATATCAGTTGCCCCTCTATAAACATGTACATCCTGGAGCCTACCCATCAACCTTTTATCCACCAATACATAATCTAACAAACTACTTTCATTACGTGCTACATCATTGGGATATTGGCAGTTTGGAGGGATATGTTGTGTATCTTTATACGTATATGCTTCTAAGCTGTTGTATTCTGAGCACCTCTGCAAAAGCAGTGATAATGTGTGAGTGTGGTGAAAGTGTTGAATGATGATGAAAGTATTTTCTTTTTGGGGATTTTTTCTTTTTTGGGTCACCCTGCCTCGGTGGGAGACGACCGACTTGTTAAAAAAAAAAAAAAAAAAAACTTTTGGATGTCGGATTAATTGGATTTATATTACATATTTCTTATGGGGAAAATTATTTCGGTTTTCGTGATTTTCGGGTTTCATCAGACTCTCGGGAACAGATTAATCATGAAAACTGAGAATCCACTGTATTGAGGGAATGGTCCTAAATTTTCATTTTTCGGTCATAAAAAAAAAAAAAATTTTCAACAAACCAGCCGTATCCCACCAAGGCAGGGTGGTCAAAAAGAAAAACGAAAGTTTCTCTTTTTAAATTTAGTAATTTGTACAGGAGAAGGGGTTACTAGCCCCTTGCTCCCAGCATTTTAGTTGCCTCATACAGCATGAATGGCTTGCGCAGGAAGAATTCTGTTCCGCTTCCCCATGGAGATAAAAGGGAATAAACAAGAGCTAGCACTAGAAAGTAAATAGAAGAAAACCCAGAGGGGTGTGTGTATATATATGCTTGTATACATGTATGTGTAGTGTTACCTACATGTAAGAAGAAGTAGCAAGACGTACCTGAAATCTTGCATGTTTATGAGACAGAAAAAAAGACACCAGCAATCCTACCATCATGTAAAACAATTACAGGTTTCCATTTTACACTCACTTGGCAGGACAGTAGTACCTCCCTGGGCGGTTGCCGTCTACCAACCTACTACCTACAATAATTAAAATTACGTTGTGCAAATGGCTGTTAAGCAGGGGGTCATTGTACATGATTTGGATCACTAAACATGATGTATATACATTTGCTACCAGCCCCAGGAGGATCAGCACTTGATCTGATGATTTATATAAATGCTTTTCCAAATGGAGTAAAAAAAACCATATGAAAAATTTTGCAGATGATGCAAAACTTCTATGCAGTGTAAGCACTGTAATAGAAACAGTTGTAAATCCCTACTTTTTTAAAAAAACTGTCCCCTCAAGGAAGGTTCCTTGATGTTGGTGAGGGGCTCTTGATTTAGGGAATTGGATCTGTGCTCCAGTTCCCCGAATTAAGCCTGAATGCCTTCCACATCCCCCCCCCCAGGCGCTGTATAATCCTCCGGGTTTAGCGCTTCCCCCTTGATTATAATAATAATTTAAAAAACTGTAGATAAGAGAAACTGGTGGATGTAGTTTTATGTAAATAAAATTTAATTTTGTAATAAAATTTTAATGGTCCGTGTAGTGTGTGAGAAAAGAGCTCACATAAAATTTATAGATTGAGAAAAAGGTAATTAGAAATGCCTGTACTGTAATTATAGAAAAAAAAAAAATATCACTGAATGATTACACATACAATAGGTAGCTGTTACACTGGGGAAAACTTCAAAATAGCCTTCAGATATGTGGATGGAGAGATGTTAGAAAATTGTTTACATTGTACTGTTGGCCAAACTTGGAATATGCAGGGATTATGTAGTGTCCATGTCTTAACCCTTAAACTGTCCAAACGTAGATCTACGTTTGCACCGCTAGCGCTCCGAACATGGTTTTTTTTTTTTTTTAAACGTGTAAAACAAAAAAAAAAAAGATCTATGTTTGGAGCGCTAGTGGTGCAAATGTAGATCTACGTTTGGACAGTTTAGGGGTTAAAAAGTGAATGAAGTCCAGGACTTGAGAATACGGAAACCTAATTTCATCCTTTTGAACACTAATCTAAATATTTTGTTAGTTCACCATGACACTATTTTTTTCAGTACATGCTTCCTTATGGGTCCTGTGAATCAGTTCAAGAAGATGTTTGCCAAGACTAGAATCATAGCCACAATTGTTGTGTTTCTATCCCTCATTATGACGCTTGTGGCAGCCTTTGTGGTAAGTGATCAGTATTACTTTTGGCACGACACTCATTATGCTCCTGTGACAAGTCAGGGTGATAAATGAACAGTGTTGCACAAAGGTCCTCATGATGTGTGGGGGAAGTCATTGTGGCAAATGATCAATGCTCCTTACAGTAAGATCACCATTATGGTGCTTGTGGCAGTTTTTCTGGTAAGTTATCAGTGTTAGGGTAAGACATTCTATGCATTGGCCTAAATAGGCACTGGCAGCAAGGGGATTGAGTTAATTTTAAATGTGTGTACCCTTGTTGTGTACAGTAATAGGCCTAAAACCAGTTTTATGTGGGTCATAATTTCTGAGCTGTGGTATTCTGTAAATGTGGCTAAAGAGTAAGTAATGGTCATTGCATCTTTGAGAAATATCTGGTGTTGTATACATCTTCAGTATTGTATATGTGCATTATTCAGTACTGTATATGGTATATACATATAGTACACGTTTATAAACAGTAATATCTGTTACGTATTTGGAAATCTTGTGGTATTTCCAAGTAAGACTTGAAGCTTGTGTTTTTAGGTTCCAAAGGTTCTCGATCAGATTTAAGCCTGGTGAACTACCATGCCAGTCTTTAACCCTTAAACGGTCCAAACAGATAGACGTTCAGATTCGTTGTGCTCCAAAAGTAGATCTACTTTTTTTTACATATTTTCAAATAGTATAACAAAAAAAAATGTAGATAAGTTTTTTTACATACTTTCAGATGTTGAAAAAATGTATACGTATATACATTTGGACCATTTAAGGGTTAAAATATGAAGTTTTACAATCATCTGGCCAGTCTTATATCTTTGGTAGCATGAGGCACTATCTTCCATAGGAAAGTTGCCTTGGCACTTCTCAAAACTATCAGGCAAATAGTCTGCTGAAAACATGCTCATAAACGTGCATATTTGATTCCTACTGTATATAAATGATAGTATACTTGCTTTGTTTTTTAGTGTATTTATTATTGAAGCTATCTTTAGAATTTATTGGGATAGGTAGGGGGAGCAATAGTTTGTCTAACCTATTGTTAATGCTTCCCAAGTTAACTTGAAAAATAGGTTGGACAAATATACAAGTGAAATGAGATGAAAATGAGAAGGCCTCCCTAGCATGGGCCAGTAAACCTGTTGCAGTGCTTCTTTATTCTTATGGGGAGTTACTGTATACAGTAACTTTACATATTACAGTTTCACTTAGTGTGGAAAAAGACTCTTGTGTACATTTGTCTTTCCACATTTTGTTAGTATTACTACAGCCTCTCCTCACTTAGTGGCGTACTTGTTATCCAACGACTTTGACTTGCGACGGGCTCTCTGACCAGTGTGCATACCTAAATAATGTATATTAGTGCCAATTTCCTTTATTCTGTTTATTACAGTATACAGTACACTGCTGTATAAACATTTAAAAATATACCAGAAATGTTATAAATGGTGCAAAGGTGACATTAAAACTATCGAATATGGTTGACACAAACCTACTACCATTATAGTATGCTTCTCAGTTAGTGAAAAATTCATTTACCGATGTGGTTTTAGGAACGGAACTTAGTTAAGTGAGGAGAGGCTGTATACCATTTATTTCCATTGTATGTATTAAGCATCAACCGATTCCTAATTTAGACATACCATAGATTACAAGTCAGAGAGGCTTTTAAACTATAGTATTAAATATTTCAGTTACACAAGAAAGCTCTGGCATTGCTGATGGTGATCATCCAGTTCTTGGCGATGACATGGTATTCTCTCTCTTACATTCCATATGCACGAGATGCTGCCAAGAAGTGCTTTGCCTCGTGCATTGATGTCTGAAGGCCCTAACACCAAGATATACCATACCAAGACATTGAGGTTTGCTTTTCTCATATTGTTTTAAACCTCATTTTGTAACTCAAGTCATATTATAATCAAAAAGAAGTGCTCAATCAACTCAAGTTATAGAAATGATTAGTTATGGTGAAAATTTTTAATGTGTTTGCATTAGCTCTCTACAAGATTGTACAGAGCATTGGAAATTGTGAAATTTATTTAACTCGCTATTTTAGTGTCAGCCTTGTCCTAGAGTTTAATTTTGTAGTAACTGATCTTAATATGAGATTTCAGTCTTGTAATTAACTCTTTAATACTTTATACTTAGTTTGTATAAAAGTTAGCCATTCTTATTCATTACCAGTAGTTTTGCAGTATATGGGCATTTATCATTCTCAACTAAGGTAAAGTAATTGCAAAAAAATGGTAAAATTGGGTAATATTTTTCCACCATAGAAAGTGCTTACAATGAATAATTACTTCATTATAGATAATGAATGGATGTTTGTATATGATATAGTATAATGTTTGAAAAAATTATTTGAAATTTGACTTCTTAAAAAAAAGAATTTTCTGTAATTTAAACAGTTTTTGTAATAAAGCTAAAGATTAATATGTAAATAGACTTCATATTAATCCTTAAACTGGACAATTTTTTTTTTTTTTTTTTTTTTTTTTACAGCTCCCTTGAACACTGAGGTTCAAAATAAGTTTTGCTTGATGTAATTTATCTCGAAATATCTTGGTCTTGTATGGCACATTTTTATCCATTTTTTTTTTTTTTTTTGCAGGCTTCTTTGGGGACCCTGCAACTGAGAATGTTAGTAAGTCATGGTATGTGGGTGGCAGTTTGTTTGAAAAGAGAACACTGGCATTATTGTATAATAGTTTTTGATACAGAAGTGAAATTAATACCAATTTGCTATATACAATGTACTGTATATTTTTCTTATCAGTCAAGATGTGGGACCTCCCTGGAGAGGTGTATTTTTTTTTTCCCTCTGTTACTTTACTTCAGGGAGTACCATACTACACACTTAAATATGTACATGTAAAATTATTGGAATTTGTACAATGTAACTATAGTTAAAAAAATATTTTTCATATACAATATATTTTGGTGCTATATGGGATTGTCATTGTCAGCACTGCAAGATCTTAACTTTACTCATTTGTTTGTGTTTTAGTGTTACTATTGTTACATGTTCTACATTATACTGTAATGAAAACTAAGTTCATCCCTCCCTTATCCAAAAGTTTCCCACAACAGGGATGTCTAGTTTCCCATTCCCTAATATTCAGTTTAAGGCTTCAATAAAAGTTCTAAAGAGCTACTCTTGTATTAAAAACAGAGATCCAGGGGATAAACCAGTACATAAAATTAGCCAGTTTGGATTTTTACCATTTTATTGTACAGTGCAGTTGTTGCTCAACAAAAAAAAATTATAAAAGTTTTTAATGAAATTCTATTGGGAACATATATTGTAGGTTATAAAATGACTGTGAATGAATGCAGAGGTCTCTTTTTACCTAAGGGTTTAATAAAATTATCTTGCGCGTGCGCGCACACACAAAAGGTTGCCAAAGACTGCAAACCTCACTCAAGGAAAGGACCTTGGGGTGAGTATAATAACTGCTGCAGCACATGGGGTGCCTGGCAAACTTGAGAATAGCGATCCGATACTTCAGTAAGGAATCATTCAAAAGACTGTACACTATGTACATCAGGCCCATACTGGAGTATGCAACACCACTTTGGAACCCCCCACCTGGTCAAGCACGTCAAGAAATTAGAGGAAGTGCAAAGATTTGCAACAAGGCTAGTTCCAGAGCTAAAGGGAATGTCCTACGAAGAAAGGTTAAGGGAAATCAGCCTGACGACACTGGAGGAGATTTAGGGAAGACATGATAACTACATACAAAATACTGGTAGGAATTGACAAAGTGGACAGACAGATGAGTCAGAGTTGACAGGAAGTGGAATGGTCTGACAAGTGACCTAGTGGAGGCAGGAACCATACAGTTGTAAGACAAGGTATGATAAAACTTGGAGCAGGGAGAGGACCTAGTAGCAATCAGTGAAGAGGTGGGGCCAGGAGCTATGTTTCGACCCCAGCAACCACAAATAGGTGTACACACACCCTTTCCGACACTCGTTCTCGCATACTCTCGCTAGGTTTGCAACACACAGAATTTACTTTCAATTTATGGAAGAGAACATTTAATATGTATGTATAGTAGATTGTTAATGTTTAATTCATTAGTATTATTGTTTTGCTTAGCCATTACAAATACGTTTTGAAAACCAGTTAAAAATTCATATCTATTCTTGGATTATATAATTTTATTGGTTAGTGCTAAACTCACTCAAAGAGGTCATAAGTGACTGGGGAAATGGAAAGTAATGAATTTTTATTTAAGGGATAAATGGATCCAGTTCATTAAATGAAGAGACTACCAGCATTACAACCCCAGTCTTTTTTTCTCTTTGATGGGAGTTTTGTTCTTAGTCTTCATTGTTTTGCAAAATATAAAACAAATTGTCTGAGGACCACCAGGAATATAGGTCTTATTGAATTCTGGACCCATAGGAAAAATCTTAGAATATATCATCTGTTGACTAGTATGTGGTCTGTCAGCAACATTTCAAGTACAGTGGAACCTCAAATATCAAACTTTTTTCGGTCCAGAAGGCTGTTCGAGTGCCTTTACCGAATGAATTTATTCCCATCAGGAATAATGTAAATTAGATTAGTCCATTTCAGACCCTCAAAAATACACTTATAAAAGCACTTACAAAATTGGTTGTGTTGGATGCAGTTCGATTTTTGAGGTTCCACCGTATATTTTAATTATTGCAACACTACCAGCAAATCGGTAATTTGGCTTTAAGCATCTGTTTTACAATATAATTGACATGACTCCCTTTGACTTGTTCCAGAAACCTGGAGTTATGCTAGTTCCATTTCCTCTTGATGTACTAATCTGTTAGGGTAATTTATTTTTAAGAATATACTGTTTCTTATGCATCCACACATCTGGAGCATCCTATATTTACACTGAAATTTCAAAACTATTACAATGTATACTAAATAGTCTGTATGTTCTAACCTATAATGTAGGTCTTCCATGAAATATTTGTGCCTTAAAATTTAGGAATAATTTTATTGAAAAAGGACATTCCTAATGAAAACCATGACTTGAATATTTTAAATGTGAATAAGATAATATGCAGTTTATAGCATTTACTGAGATGACATTTTGTCCACCAGGGAGTTTATCAATGTCATTTCAGCATGAACCATAAACTACAGTGTCCTGTTCACATACCTGTCATTATATTATTATTATTATAATCAAAAAGAAGCGCTAAGCCACAAGGGCTATGCAGACCTGTCATTATAGTTTAAGCTCAGTTATATAATAAAACTAAATTATCAAACCTAAAGCTGTCAAAATAATTAATTAGTATTTTATTTGGATAGGACATTATTACACACATGAGTAGTATATTGTGAACAGTGTTGTACTGGTGGCCATACAAGCAAATGATAGTGTTAGGACATTTCAGAAAAATGTTTACTTAAGAAATAACATGAAGGTGAACATTAATACTTAAAATACTGTATGTACAAAATATTGACCAAAATAATTTAAACCTTGGAAACTACTGTTTATTCTAGAGTTTAATAAATACATTTATTTTATTTATTTTTAATTCTACTATATATACTGTAGTTTATATTAACCAGTGTAATTGATGAGTACCTTATCTCTGCTTTCAATAATAATAGCATTACTGTACAACTTGAATATATATTGTGGTAATGAAAATAGGCACTAAAGCCATACAAGTCATCTAGCAGTGTTAACAGAGTAATACCATAACTGTATCCAGCAAAAATTAAAAAAGGAGGGACAGCAGTGTTAGTCTTGGTCTCTAGTACATTTGGTTGGTTGCTGCAGCTTCCTTTTGTTTAAAACAGTTATGCATTGGTCTACCGATATCTTCTTGAATTAACAAATTATGATATTAAAATGTTTCAAAAATAATTTTATATACAGTAGACGGTTATATTACATGGTAGTTACATTCCTGAAAAATGCTGTTAGACAAAACTTATGGGAAAAATAGGGTCACATTCCTGGGACCCCCAAAACTGCCATTTTTTTTTTCTTCAGATCTTGCAAAAATAAAAATGATTATGTAATTGTTGTGATGTATTATGTTGTTCAATTGCTTAAGGCTACAAATGCAACAGAAATAGTACTTCTTTCCTGAAATTGTGGGTGCTGGTGTTTGTTGATGATTGCAAAGAGTGGCATTATCCTGTGGCCCTATTGGGTTGAGGCGGATGGTAGAGGTTCTGGTACTAAAGTCGATGGTTGTACTAGTGTGTGCATAAATTCTGTAATCGATCTCTGGGCTCGTTTACCATTCAGTATATTATACAGCTGATGGTAAGGCATCAGCTGCTCAAGACCCCATTTCAAAACACTGCTTCTAGATTTATCAGCGTCCTCTTTATTAAAAAGGTCTAAGTCAGAAAATCAGTCACTTTATTCTGGTAGGTGTGATCTACATGTCATTCCTTTCAGATGACATCCTGGATTATTCGTTACACAAGCCCATATATTTGTCTCCATTCTTTTTCATTTTACGAACTGATGCTTCAGTAAGGCTATAAGCTTTCGTGATATTTGCTACACACGAACCAATTTCATGCTTGTCTAATATCTCGATTTTCTTTAACTCCAAGACTTAACTTTTAAACCTTTTCTTGTCACTTTCAGCATCACTCGCATGCCATGTCATTCCTCTTTCTGTGTGGGTATTTCTGGGAGGCTTGGCATACAAACCTCTATATAGAAAGATAACCATGGAGTTTTATTTATAATATGCTCAGTAACTTTCCCATGATCAAATCTAGCCCCCTTTTTTTTATCATAACTATTGATATCGTTGTGCAAGAAAAGTATACAATACCGACAAGATGAAAGTTAAGACACTTGTGCAACATCTGTTTATCTTTATTGTAGACATTTCACCATCCAGTGGCTTTATCAATACAGATTCTAGGACATAATTAGTAGACAGCAGAACTGTATACAAAAGATGAGGTAATCAGTCCCTCAGCCTTGGAGTTGGTGTGGAGAGCACTGCAGTTGTAGATATTCTGGAGCATAGGCAAGGAGACTTCCGCTCATATAGGCGTCAGTGGATAGGGACATGTAGCAGACGAGGGCATAGTCACCAGTAGGCAGGATTTCCCAGTGGAAGTAGGTCCTACCCAAAGTGATGGGTTAGTTGTAGTAGCCGTGAAGCAGGTCATGTAGATGTACCCTGAACCGAGATTCCATGATGTTGCAGTGTCTGACAAGTTGTGCAAGAAAGGTATACAATACCAACAAGATGAAAGGTGTTGCACAAGTGTCTTAACTTTCATCTTGTCGGTACTGTATACCTTTCTTGCACAACTTGTCAGACACTGCAACATCATGGAATCTTGGTTCAGAGGACATCTACATGACCTTCACGGCTACTACAACTAACCCATCCCTTTGGGTAGGACCTATTTCCACTGGGAAATCCTGCCTATCAGTGACTATGCCCTCGTCTGCTACATGTCCCTATCCACTGATGCCTATATGAGCGCCAGTCTCCTTGCCTATGCTCCAGAATATCTACAACCACGGTGCTCTCCACACCAACTCCAAGGCTGAGAGACTGATACTTCATCTTTTGTACATAGTTCTGCTGTCTTCTAATTGTCCTAGAATCAGTATTGATAAAGCCACTGAATGGCAAAACATCTACAATAAAGACAACCAGATGTTGCACAAGTGTCTTTCACTATTGATATCAATGAGATTCAGAGTGATATGGCCACCAAAATACAGGACAAGTCAAAATCTGAAACAGAATTTGAGAACATAATTTTATATTATTCACAGGACCTCTAGGAATGCAACATCTATCATCCCCCTATCCCTGATACATGGTTAATATATTTTTAATTATATTTATTAAATGTTATGGACTTTTACTTTTCCCAGTAGTAGATTAGAATAGATTTTTATGATAAAATACTTCCAGGAATCGTCCATGAGCGTGTTAGATAGGAGTGAAAAACAGTACAGAATGGGTCACATAACCAGAGACCAAACAAAACGTTACTCGTCAATCTTAACCAGCCTGATAAGGGCAAAAAAATTGTATTATGAGAACAGATTATCCAACTTACGAGGTGATATAAAAAAGACCTGGAAGACCCTATCAGAAATTCTGGGAACAAAAAAGATATCACGACATAGCGAAATAAAATTAGCAAAATCAGATGAACCCCAACTCCCACCAACAGAAACAGCAAACAGACTCAATGATTTCTCTCCCACTATGGGTCAAAACCTTGCCAATAATACCCCAAGCTCAGATACCCCACCAAATGACTACCTCACTGGCAACTACCCGAACACACTGTTCCTATCTCCGACTAACCCATACGAAGTCTCCCTTATTATCAACGCACTGAAAAACAAGGCAGGAGATTTAAATACCTTACCACCCTTTTATATACAAAAAAGCGTCACAAGTACTATCACCAATCATTGCAACACTCTTTAACAAATCCTTTGAATCCTCCACCTTCCCTACAGTTCTCAAAATAGCAAGGTCACCCCGATCCATAAAGGAGGAGCCCAAAACAGAGTTGAATAACTATAGGCCAATATCCAATTTACACCCTCTCTCAAAAATCTTCGAAAATTAATTCATAAACGAATCCACTCCTACCTCATCTCCCATAACATTCTCAACCCCTCCCAATTTGGATTCAGCCAATAAAAATACTAATGATCCCTATTATACACATGCTAGAACATTTTATACACGCAATAGAGAAAAAAGAAGTCCCACTGGGATCTTCATTTACTTACGTGAAGCTTTTGATACAGTTGACCATGACTTACTCCACGTAAAATTGTCACACTATGGTATTAGAGGGCACTCCCTCAACTACCTCAAGTCTTACCTCAGCAACAGAAGCCAATATTGTACGCAAATGGGGGAAGCTCTTCCGCACAACCAATTACAGTTGGTGTCCCACAGGGAAGTGTGCCCCCTTTCCTCTTTCTCCTATACATAAATGACCTACCAAATGCTTCGCAATTACTCAAACCCACACTTTTTGCAGATGACACTACATACGTCTTCTCTCACCCGAGCCCAGTCATGCTAGCCAATACTGTAAACACAGAATTACAGAAAATATCTACCTGGATGAGGACTAACAAACTTACACTAAACATTGACAAAACCTACTTCATTCAGTTTGGTAGCAGAGCTACAGATGTACCTCTTAACATAACGATAAACGGATCACCTATCACAAAGCTAACAGAGGGAAAATTCATAGGAATCCACCTCGATAATAGACTCAAATTTCATACACATATACAACAAATTTCTAAGAAAATTTCCAAGACTGTAGGCATACTATCGAAGATACGTACTATGTTCCACAGTCAGCCCTCCTGGCCCTTTATCACTCTCTTATTTACCCCTATCTCACCTATGGAATTTGTGCATGGGGCTCAACAACTAACCATCTCAGACCACTAATTACCCAACAAAAGGCTGCAGTTAGAATGATAATAAATTCTCACTACAGGCAGCACACTCCACCAATATTCAAAACACTCAACCTACTCACCTTACAAAACATCCATACTTATTATTGCACTTATTACATACATAGAACACTTAACTCTGATATTAACCCTCCCCTCAAACATCTCCTTGCCAACCTCAACAGAACACATGACCATAATACAAGGCACAGATCACTCTTTGATGTTCCTCGTGTCCATCTCACGCTATGCAAAAACTCAATGCACATAAAAGGCCCTAAAATCTGGAATTCATTACCTGTAAATATAAAAGAAACACTACCTGTTTATAAATTCAAGTCTCTTCTCAAAGTTCACTTACTCACTCAAAACCAAATAAATACTGAATAACTGAACCATATAAATTGTATATCCTAAATGTTACTCACAATTATATCACACAAATGTTAAACCTAACTTTGTTATTTTTTTTAAAATACACTACCTAACAGAATACTCCATTCTACTGAATGAACAGCAATGCATGCAACCATAGGACCTGTCTTTGTAATACTCATTTGTATTTTATAGTTATCTGTTTACAATAATGTCTTATCACTGATTTCATCATTGCTTAGTTAATTTTAAGCCAGCCCGTAATGCTATGCATATAAGTGGCTTTGGCATGCTGCTCTTACCTGTATTTTTTGTACCTCTGTTTGTATGCTAAAATTTCTAAATAAATAAATAAATAAAAGTGAATGGAGGCGAATGGTTTTTGGGACCTGATAAGCTGTTGGAGTGAGAGCAGGGTAATATTTAGTGAAGGGATTCAGGGAAACTGGTGATTTTATACAGCCGGACTTGAGTACTGGAAATGGAAGGTACAGTGCCTGCACTTTAAAGGAGGGGTTTGGGATATGATATATATCTTTATATATGCTTCTAAACTGTTGTATCTGAGCTCTTCTGCAAAGACAGTGTTAATGTACAAGTGAGATTAAAGTGTTTTCTTTTTGGGGATTTTCTTTCTTGGGTCACCCTGCCTTGGTGGGAGATGGCCAACTTGAGAAAAAACAATATAATTCCCAAAATGGAATGGAAGTCAGATAACTAATGGACACCCACTCTTTACCTACCTTTCCTCAAGGAAGGTTCCTTGACGCTGGAGAGGGACTCTTGATCTACGGAATTGGAGTTGTGCTTCAGTTCCCTGAATCGAGCCTGAATGCTTTCCCCCCTCCCCCACAGGCGCTGTATAATCCTACAGGTTTAGCGCTCCCTCATGATTATTATAATTTACCCACCTGGCCTTAATGCTTATTTCTTCAATACCAATTTTGGATACAGCAGACAATATTTGGTCTGACAAAACCTCAATGCAAAAAGACTAAATTGCAGCATCAGGCATTTGTCCATGAACTGTAGTCTCTCCAATATGCTTCCTATTCAATGGGCCAAGTCCACTGTATTGAGCACTTGTCCATTAGTGGTAGTGTGTCCAATAGGCACTTCATACAATGGAACAAGTTTGCTGCTTCAGTCTGGATGCCTTCCATTTCCCCAGGCACCGTATGACCCCTACCGGTTTACTGTATTAATGTTGG